TTTTGTGCCTTTATCCGTTAATCTCTCTTTTTCTCTATCTTTCTTACGTTGTCAAATCGCCCCTCCTGTCCTTATCTGCCTTCATGCCTTTTGCCTCTTCCCCACGAGGCCACCTTCAAAAATTTCATGTTTTTTTTTTCTTCTAACAAATGTTCTACTTATTCAAGAATATTTTTCTTCAATAAGTTGGATTTGTTATTTTGTGATTGCATTTTCGCAACTTTTCCTGATTAATTCTGGCGGTGGCTATGGATTCGAGGAGGCGTTTGATGCTGTTTTTATTGTTGATTGAGTTGATAATTTTGGTGAAAGGAAATGTAGTTTTTAAAGTTCAGCATAAATTTGGAGGCCGCGGGAAGGGAGTGGAAGCCCTGAGGACTCTCAAGGATCATGATTCTGGCCGCCATGGACGAATGCTGGCAGCCATTGATTTTCAGTTAGGCGGCAATGGAAAGCCCACCGATGCCGCGTATGTATCATAATCTTTTGCGTTTTTTATTATTTCTATATGTTGCACGTAAGCATTCTTGTTTATGGTATAATGTTATTGCCGGTTTTTTTCAGAATCTGGTGTATATATTGTTTTGGTCATTAGGAATGATTGATGGCGAGGACTTTGAATTAAAATATATGAAGAACCTAGTGGAATTTAACTTGAACAATTTCTGATTTGTCTAAAGCAGGTTTAAAGTAAACCATATTCTTTTGAATCTTTGATTGACAAGGATTCATTGCGGTTGGCATGACATCTTTGATCCAAGCTGCTTCGAATTTTCATATCTCGTTCTAGGATTTATTTTCTGTAATTTTATTATTTTACATGTTATAGAGGCAATCATTAGTATACGTGTTCATCATATGAATACATATCACATACAAATATACAGGACATATTCCTCGGTACCCTGTATAAGGAAGTTAAGAACGAGTGGAATTGGAATTGGAATTGGAATTTGATTGGTTTTGAATTTTGGTCCTATTGGAGGATTTTTCAGGAGATGCATTTCACTTGCTGTGGGGGATTTGTTCACTTCTTATTATCTATGTTTTCCCTAGTACCGTGCACTTACATGAATTACGCGCCTTTCAGTACAAATTTCGGTTATCAGAAATCTTAAGAAAATATTACCATGGGATTATGTGGTACAGCAAATTATAGATAAACTTTTTTATTTTTCTTTTACTTTAGGATTGATTTAGTATTTGTTCCGTGGCAGGATGATGTGAGGTTTCACGATCAAATTACTTATCGGATTGTGGGAATGAAGAAGATCGATGTGGATTAAAAAATGACTAATTGTTGTTTACTTGCTTTCATAATAGATTGTTTGAATAGACATAGTAAAAAAAAAGTACCGTCTAAATCAAACGCCACTTAATACTTGGTGCCAAACTTGTCATTTTGTGATATATAGAAATTGTATATATGAATATACATGTACAAGCATGCATTACTATTAGCTTTCTTTGCAAAATGGTAGTAGCTGTCAGAATCTCTATCTATTGCTCATAGTTTCCATTCGTTTTTTCTGCAAAATAGCTTTTTCATTGCACCGACTTTGAACATCAAAAATTGCGCATATGCTCTTAATGTTTTCGATGAATTGTTGTAGGCTCTATTACACCAAGATTGCTATTGGTTCTCCTCCAAGTGACTATCATGTACAAGTCGATACAGGAAGTGACATTCTCTGGGTGAATTGTAAAGACTGTGACAGGTGTCCCAAAAAAAGCAGCCTTCATGTATATCCTTCTCCTATTTTTCGTTTTTTAAACCATATTTATTTGAAGGATCGGGATATGAATTACTAGTTTTGGGTATGTTTTCGTTCAACAGATACCCTTGAACCAGTATGACATAACAGCCTCTTCGACTGGCAAGAAGATCACATGCAATCAAGAGTTTTGCAATACTGTGTTCACTGGTCCAAATTCAGATTGCAAGGTTGGAATGGCCTGTGAATATGCAGTTACTTATGGAGATGGGAGTAAAACCGAGGGCTATTTTGTCAATGATTACATCAGACTCGATCAAGTGTCAGGAAACCTTCAGACGGCAACCATGAATGGGTCCATATCATTTGGGTGAGTTTTCATTTTTGAGCCTCTTTTCAGGTGTCTCTGTAATTTGGTTCCAGCGCTTGTAACTGCTTTCTATATTATTTAGGAAACGAACATGTTTGGTTGGCTTAAAAGTAAGTCAAATTCACTTTTTAAATTACTTCTTTGTTCAGAAATGATTTTCAATGTTACCTTTTATACTAAAAAACTTACTTTTCTAGAAAGCTACTTTGTTTTCTAGAAAATAAACTTCTAGATTTAAGCAAAGCCAAACATGCTCTCGGCTATCCCCAGTACAGGTTGAGTACTTAAGCAATGTTAAATACAAGTCAGAATAACATTAATTCGAGCAACATGCACAATCACTCTCATGATACCATCACAGGCTCAAATGCACTTGATTTGTTCAACTTTTGTCCAAAATTTCTGAGAAATTGAGAAAAGCGCTTGTTCTCTTGTATGAGCCTCAGGTTCTTGTGGAAAATCTTTCGACTCGTATTTCAACGACACGGATAAAACTTAAAAGTGTTTCTTGTAATTGAATTCATATACTTTCATTACTTTTGCCATGGAAAAGTGTGGAATTATACTTCAAACTGCTTTGGACATTAGTTTTTAAATAAGTCTTCTTATATTTATTATGGGAGTTGAACTTCCCTTCAAATCAGTTCCAAGATTTAGGCTCTAGTGAGTAGACGGATTATTTAATACGTACAATGATTTACATATGTAAGCCTAAGTCATCTAAGTGCTTATATTATTTATAGCTAATTATACAAGATTGCTTTTGTCTTCTCACAACTTTAATTTATCATTTTTTTCCCCTTTTTTTTGGCTTTGCTTTCTGCTAAGTACATAAAGAGCGTCCCTATCTAGCTTGGGATATAGCCAAGGTAATGGCTGAGTGTCTGGTGGAGGTATTTGGATTTCATTTTATCTTTCCCTTCAGCATACTCTATAATATTCATTTTCCCTTTTTTTTTTTTTTTTTTTTTGTGGGTCATACTTAAGTTCCAATGAGTCTTCTCTTGCCTGTGGAACAATTTTACCATCTATTTGATTTCAAGCATAACCTATTTACTTTGTTGCTTTCTTTAGCTTACATGTTTGTGATCCAAGATAGGTGCTCAGCTAAACAATCTGAAGATTTAGATTCATCCTCTCAAGCAGTTGATGGAATAATAGGTTTTGGGCAATCGAACACATCAGTTCTTTCACAGCTTGCTTTATCTAAAAAGGTTAAAAAAGTATTTTTACATTGCCTGGATGGAAGAATTGGAGGTGGCATATTTGCTATTGGTGAATTGGAGCAGCCAAAAGTAAATTCAACACCACTGGTCGAAAATGAGTAGGTGACTTCATAAATTTTTTTGTATCTTCTAACTTTTATGTCTATCTTGGCTGCATATATATGTCTTTAATTACAGTTTTATTACTCTCTTAGGGCGCATTACAATGTTCTTATGAAGGCAGTTGATGTGGGTGGTGAATCTCTAGACCTTCCAACAGATTTATTTGGCTTTGATGCCAATAGAGATACAATTATCGACAGTGGTACAACCTTGGCTTATCTTCCATCTAGGCTTTATAATCAGGTTATTGAAAAGGTACATCTACTGCTTCAATCTCGTCCATTCATTAGTTCATACAAAAAATGAACTCAGTGTTTGTCCGTCTGTTTTCATCTAACCTTATTCTCTTGCTAGATGATGGCAAAGCAACCTGATCTGAAAACTCATTTAGTCGAGGATCAATTCAAATGCTTCTGGTACAATGGGAAGTAAGGCTCCTTGCTACTTCATGGTTGTGTGTGTTTTTGTACATATACGCGCATATTTGTAAGCATGGGCACAGACTTGAAAGACAGTCTTCTTGCAGTTGTTTATTGTCTTGACGGGTATAACTGTAACTCTAGTTCACAATATTATCGGGAAAGAAATTCTAGTAGCTTGTGTCTTCAGGTCCTTTTTAAGGGGGAAAGTATTGAAAAGACCCTCTGATAAGTTAACTATCCAAAACGTCCAAAGAACTTTTGCAAGTTTCATCTGTATTTCTTGCTGTCACATGCAGCATTTTTAATATTTGTACCATGACAAATGTACCCGTAAATAGACAAAGTAGTTTTCTCTTTGAAGAAGCCACTATGAACAATGCTATTTGTTGTGTCCGAGCATCACTCAATTGAGTTCTCCATCTTTCGCACTTTGGCTAATATTCTGAACAGTGAATGAAGTTAAGTAGGAATCTGGAAGGGATAAATCACGCATTATGTGATCTATTTTCTTCTACCGCCTGATGTTTTGGTCCATATACATACAAAATATTCACGCTAGAATAAAATGGCTATGAAATCACAGTTCTTCTAATGAGATGTACAAAACTGTAGTATCGTCATCTTGATATGGTATCTTGTACTGTTACCCCTCTGGAATAAGATATCTTCCTAAAAATCGTAAATTTTAATTTTCTTCTTTGTGCATATTTTTTTCTTCTCTTGTTTTGCCTGTTAACTTAATTGGATTCTCCATATAAAAGCCAAGATATTAGTTCATTTTACTTTTATAGTAAGCTAGTAAATTTTCAAAATAATTATACTGAACTAGTACAGAAAAAGGATTCCCATATTTTCTTGCACTGACTTCCTGTAGTAAGATATAGTTGAGACTATTTTCAGCCCTTAGAGAATCTTCCATCCTATCGGCGTCTCTGCTATATTAATTCTATAGGAAGTTTTTTGAGTTTGGAAATAGCAATGAGGCTAAAGTTGTCCTGGCTCTGCAGTATGACAGTAAACTTGTTCATTTGGTTGGAGAAGAATGCTACAATCCTACAATATTTTAGTAGTCCTCGTCCTCGAGGGATATAATTTTGATTTTGTCATCTTTATGGACTAAGGTTGAACTATTTTCTGGTTTAGCTTTATCAGGTGTGCATTGTGGCTTGAGGGATTCATAACTTTGGTCATCTCTTTTTTTTTTTTTTTTTTTTTTTTTTCCCCCTCTTCTTGATTGTTGTTACTAAAGATTTCTTGTCTAGTATTTTTACAATTCTTCTCCTTATTAATAAATTTCTTCTTTTATGAGAAAGAAATTTAAATTTTTTTGGTTTGAATGTGTTTGTGCAGTGTTGATGACGGATTTCCAGTTGTAACTTTTCATTTTCAGGGCAAACTTCTTTTGCCAGTTTATCCTCATGATTATCTGTTCGAAGTTCATGTAAGTAAGACGGATTAGTTTTATTGCATAAGTTGCTATTTACTTGGTAATTGGGTTGCATTTGATTCCCAAAGTGCTTTTACTATAAGGTGGCAAATGTAGCATTCCTTGATCCTGCAGTTAAGATGTATGAGGAGTATTGTTCTTGTCCTTCTGAAAATATCATGAATTTAAAAATATACTGTAGAAGATCAAATGTTTCTGGCCATAATATTTAAGAGAGAACCATATGACATAATGGCCGTAAGATGAGGGGGTTACAAGAGTTGATGAAATGGATAACAATGGTAAACATAGACACACAAAATTACAAGGAATAAGTTAACTAAAAATGGATTTGAGCCTTCATTGTTTAATTTTAAAAATAACCGGGCTCGGCTCCTCACAATACGGGGTGGGGGGAATTTTTTTGTCTTTTTTAATTCACATGGGTCCCGCGTGGGTCCCAACCCATGTGAGAGAAAGTCAAGCATTCTATCATATTTTTTTGATCAAAGTAGGTTATTTCTTTTAAAAACCAGCCATGGCAAAGCACAATGTAAGTAGACAATCTAAGACATTTGATTATAGAAAAGTACGGCTAATGCTTTTCTGACTTCATGTTTGTACAAAACTTCATTTTTTTTGTAGGATAACGAATACTGTATCAGTTGGCAGAGCGGTAAAATGCAGTCAAAAGATGGAAAGGAGTTGACTTTGTTAGGAGGTACATATCAAGCTCACCTTCTTATATTAAATTATTTAGCTTTTTACTTATTTTTGGATTAAAGCATGAAGTTATTATCTTATAATGACTTTTTTTCTTTATATATGTTCTACAAGACTTAATTGAGGGGACTTGGAGCTATAAATTTAGTTAATATGACAGTCAAGATAAAACCTTGACACTATTGAAATCCGGTAGTTATACTTTAATGATCGATTCAACCTTTGATAAAAAAGATATATCTTGGTTATATTTCATCTCTTTGGCAGTTTAGTAATGCGCATAACGGTCTAGTTAAGGATGGTATATAAAAAAGCACCTATATAAGCAAGATTTTATAACCAATTAAATAGATCATTTATAACTTTGTCCCAAAGACTTATCTTAGGACCTGTTTTAACAAATAAATTTATTACGTCGGAATTTTTGGAAGAGGAATTACTTCACTGATGATCATTTTTCTTATGTACCTTCTGAGAAGAATAATGCATGCATATCTGAGTTTAAGATATATAATGTGAGTAATAATTTCAGGAATTACTTGAGGAGCGAGAGTTGAATTTTAAAACATTCTGCTGAATTCTCATTTGTTGCTTATACAGTTATATTTAGTTATATTTAACTTCTTTAGTTGAGATTAAATTGCTGAAGATGACTTTTCTGTGATGTTTTTACATTATCTTGTCTTAATGTTTATCATCCTGCAAAAGTATCAACTACTTGACCCTCAAACTATCTAGAACAAGTTGAGGCTTATATCCTAATTGTCCCGGATTAGAGGGACTAATTGATGAATATACTGATATTAACATAGTCAATTTTCTGATTCATTGCAAATGCAGATATTGTACTATCGAACAAGATTGTTTTGTACGACCTCGAAAATCAGACTATTGGATGGACAGAGTACAACTGTGAGTATAGTTAAATATTACATTGCTTTAGCATTTACAATTTGGTTTTACGATTATATTCTCATTTTCTTGAATTTGTTATGTCGAATAATTTCTGTAGAAATCTGTGCTATTGTTATAATCTACTTGACCTTTAGTAAAAGTCGTCCTGCATATTTTTTTCCTGAGACTATTCACTACTATCTTCTGTCCTTTGATCCAGACTCTTGAGAATACTCGAGGGGTGTTTGTTGAGGAGAATTGGATAGTACGTGACATTACTATGAAAGATCAAGAAGTTAAAATCTTGTTTGTTATAGCGTTTAGTCCTGTTCAATACTGCATACCAAATATGAACATAACCATAGCATTTTGAAATGTGTGCTTTTTTCTTGGCTCGAGTTCTGTTCTTGGATCAAGTAAACAGTTATTATATCTCATAACAACCTCTAAATCTAACTTTATCCTGGATGAAATTTTGAAGAAAACGAGCTTTCTCGAAGTCATTTTGTTGATGTTCTCAGGCTCTTCAAACATCAAGGTGAAAGATGAAGCATCAGGGAATGTTTATTCTGTGAGCGCACATGATATTACTTCGGCTTCCAGTCCGGTTAAAGTTAATGTTATTCCGATTGTTTTGTTAATATCGATCCTGCTAAATCTGATAGAATGATCTGTTTCACAAGAATCGACTTCACAAAATGATGTTCGTTCTCGATGACAATAAATGTTCGATGCTGAGCGGTTTTCGTTCTTCATATACTAAATACAGTTGTTGGAAGCTTTGTGCTGTGTTTCTTTGACCCCACATTCTCCCGTGTCTCATCACAAAGAATGGCTGCTGCAGGCTATGATATTGACCCAAGGTTGAATTTTTACATTTTGTTCAATATTTTTTTTTTTTTTTTTTTCACACAAGATTTTATAGAAGCTGTAGTAGAACAAAAATATATATATAAATGTTCTTCGATTTTTATGTTAATGTTGATGTGTTTACATTTTATAGGATACGTAATGTGTCGTTATTTTGATACAACACATCGACAACAATTGAAAAGATTTGGTGGTGAAACAATTGATGTGTCCCGTAAAGAATTTGGACGAAACTAGGTTTTGAAGCAAATCAGAACCAAATCGAGAATCAATGATTTTCTTATAATGGAATCATTAGTAATTATGGAACCAAATCAAAACTTAATTGAGTGTTCCGACTTGGTTCGGTTCCACAACCAAATTTTTTAAATTATTATGCACATTATAGTACAAAGTTGTATCATTAATAGTTAACACTCATATCCAAAATCGAAATAATAAACCTAATTCAATTCAAACAAAAATAAAATAAAATAAAATTCCATCTCCATACAAAGCAGTCTAATGAAAATAATTCACCAAAATAACTAAACATAATTAAAAAATTATTAGTTGGGTTAGAATCGATTCTTAATTTTTGGTTTTGGGTTCTAGAACAATGATCGACTAAAGCCGATCATTTCTTGGTTTTAGGAACCAAATCCATGTAATCTTTTAGCCAAACCGAACATAGTTAGTCATTCTGATTTTTTATTTGATTCTTTTGTCCACCTTAGACGAGAACTAATAGTATAAATGAAGAGAAAAAAAACTGAGTGTGCCTTCAACTGAGATTTTGATGGATTTTAAAAGATTATAACTCCTAATGAATATCGTGGATTTGAATATATTTCTACAAATTCTATAAAAATTTCATCAAATATGGTGAAATTTCAAAAGATGTGGTTATATGTAATTTTAAGTTTGAAATCTATCCAAATCTTTTAAAATCCATATATTAATGAAATTTTTATAAATCCATTAATTATTGAAGATATCTAAATTTTAAAGGATTTTATCGAATTTCACTAAAATCTCAATTAAGGACACCTAAATTTAGAAGAATTTTCAAAATCCATCACATTTTCGGTTGAGAACTCCTCCTACAACATTGTAGCAATCATGCATGTTCTCTCCTATGTTTGATTAGGATTGAATAGCACTCTCAAATGCCAGTATTAAAAGGGAAAAAAATAAATAAGTAAACAAAATAAAAATTTATTAATTAATTGCATCCACATGTGCCTATTAACAATTGTTGGACATATTGTTGTCAAATGATCTCCCGGACGATAATGTAAACCGTTTATTAATTATCAATCGATGATTGCGATATGACTAAGTAATAAATCAATACCAAATTGTAACGACCCGACCCAAGAAGAGATTGAACCATTTGAAGCAACCAATTAAATTGTGTTGCTCATGGACCATGTTATCACCTACTTGGATGGCTAGCTAGTTTTGAGGCCCACACTATTGTCCACTTATATGTTATTGGACCTTGACGCATTATCTAAAACCTAACTTACCATATTTTGTGACTTGGTCCAATATATTCTCTTTGTTCTTCACGCCACCGTGTAAGGAACAAGACTTGGTGTCTCTTTCTCCTTCCTGCGTGATCTCTCTCGGCTTCACCACCTCCATCTTCTGCCATTTTCTTTAGTGTATATATCTTGGTGATATTTCTCCCCTTTGTGGTGTTCTCTAAGTGGCAAAAGGCTTAGCAACCATAGGTGGAACCTTTGTGGTGTTCTCGGGTCGTTTGTTTTGGTATTGATTCGGATTTTGGTAAATTGTACCTATATATCGCCTTGGTGGTTGATGATTTCTCTCCCTTACAACAATGAATTTTCTGTTATACATATATACTGCATACATCATCAGATGGTTCAGATTGTACCAAGAAAATTTGTGCTAGTGATCAGTCTTTACAAGGTTGTCCTCAAGAACTGTACAACAAAATAGACAACTGCAAGAAATAGTGCAATCTGGTATACATCTCTTTGGAATCCATCATCTCTTTGGAAAAACTGGATCAAGAAAATATAGTATCATGACAGTCAAGTGTAATTTACATAGTAATTTCAGAAGAAACACACATACACATGTTTGGGAGAGAGGATTATATAGTAATCGAAAATTCAGAAGGAAAATGAAAATTTCAAAATAGACGGTACATACCTTTGTTGGATCACCAGAAGGGTCTGGATAGATCTCCAGATTCTCATTCTCTGTAGAAACACGGTTCTTGAGGTCCTTAACGGAATCTCCAACATCTTTTCCAGCCTCAACTATAGAAAAGAGCCTTCGTGATGTCCAGAAATACGCTTGAGCAATGAGGGACGAAGCTGACAAATCCCAGGATTCTTCGTGCTCAATCACTTGTCCACTTATCTGATTCAGAGTAAACTTGGAGTTGACTTTCACTATCAAGTCTCCTCCAAGACTGAAAAGTGGAGATTTAGGCTTCCCTTTTATTGTCCAATTGATATTTAATACACTAGTTGATAGCATCGCCATCTGCTGCACACTCTGCAGAAACAATTACATAAATCAACACGAGCTCTTTTCATCACTACAGAAGATGGAATGCAAAAAATAAAAAGCTCAGAACGTGTAGAACTCACCACTGTGGGATTGTCTAGAGCCTTGGTTGCCCATAATTGTCTCTTGTACTTCTCTCGACCTGTAAAACTTCTAACTGGATCCTGCAATTATTTCTAGCAACAAATTTAGAAACTAAAATACCAGAACTAATGTGACCTATCAATAGCAAATTGATGTCATCATGCCAATAATGTTACCACTAAGAATATATTTAAGGTTTAGAACTCAATAATCAGCATGCACAAGACTTTAATGAAGTCATGATGCTTAAAACTAGATCTACAAAATCTCTTTAGGTAGAGATGATATCACAATCAAAGGCAGCATTAATGAAGTCATGATTCTGAATCTATTAATGTATTGCTGTGTTGAGGCAAAGATACGGTTATGTACCTTATATTTGACAGAAACAGCAAAGGTCCCTAGAGCACGATTGCCTTCGCGAAGTTCTAGAATGTCACGAGCAAGTTGTCTTGCTGTAGCTTCAATAGAGGGACTGCTGATGCACTCAAACTCATTACAGAGTTCACCAAAGTCCATATCATCTACGAGCTTGTCAGCCTCTGATCTTTGAGAGTTTTCATCAGGGGACACATCAGCTCTAGTCGAGTCATTTGTAACTGCAGTAATATCGAAGCTATCTCAGTTAGATAAGGCACGCAGTCTTAACAATATATTTGTTACAGATTAAGTCTTCATTTCTTCCTAAGAGAGCAATAATAAAATCAAAGCAACCAGAAACAAACACAGCAATTATAGATTTATCGTTGTTCATCCTCAATTTGAAAGCTACATTCACTTAGCATCAGTGTGTCACCATATTAGAGAAAAAAGAGTAAAAGTTTTCTCACACCCCTCACACACCAACCACCCCCTTAAAAAATGTTTTGTATAGTGGGAATATGTGGGCGACCTGGTACGTGTATGGATCTGTGGTCGAGGGTATAAGCGTGTAGTGTGATTAGTCTCCATGCAGTGCAACAAAATTTATATAATTGAAAGGGGTACGATTGAATTTCATGAGCATTGAGCCCTGTTGAAACCGTAATTTGTTCAAACTCTTGGTATAGTTAACAAGTCTAAGACTTGTTAAAGTTCACTTCTTCCTTTTTCAGCCATGAACAAGCTCTTTTCAAGCCAAATTCAAGTCAAGCCCAAGCATCTTAGTTAAATCGTGTTGTAGTTTAAATGTTTAACAGGTTCAAGTTAATTTGTTGGACCTCTAACCTATTTATAGCCCTCAAGTCGAGATCCTCCGATGACTATAGGGAGAGAAATGACAAGAAGTCATTTTTCAAAATAGTAAAATCATTAAAAAATAAGTGCAGGTTCACCAGGCTATAACAAAGCTAGAGAATTATATATAAATGAGTAGCTCAAGTGTGCGAAATATAAGATCGCATTCTCTTCTTTTAATGTTCAATTTATATACAACATTAAACTTTATTTCCTCTCTACTTATTGATATATAAAAGCAGAAAATTCTCTGTTGTTGTTCGTTTCCTTAATCTTCATTTTTCTTCAATGTGAACTTCATAGAGTTATGAGCTCTATGAATTGACGGAGGATAATTAACTTAAACAAGTTTATATACATCAATCAGAAAACTAAAGAAGAAGAAATGAGGAATGCTTGGCTTATTCTCCTGCAGAGTCCATTTGCTGCTATACATATCAAAATATGTAACCATCTAAAAAAAATCAGATGCGTACAATGAGAAGAACACAAAAATGCATTAAAAATCATTAAAAATAACCACAAAGATAACTATCGACTCGAATCAGCTCTACAGATGATGTAAATTTATTTATACTTGTCCGGAGGCTAATCTAGATTCATTAATAATCCATACAGTGAGAAGAACACTAAAATGCACGCAACAAAACTCAAAAAAGAAGAGAAAAGAAAAGAAATTTCCAGTAAACAACTTCATTTCAAGGAACCTAATTCTTGAAGACATTTCATGCAAAGCCCAGTTCAGAATAGTATTATACTGTACTAGTTATTCAATAAAGAAATAATAAATAAGAAAATTTTGTTCTCCGGCTGGTTACCTCGTAGGGAAACTTTGTGCAGACGATGAAATGAAGAAACGTGAGGTTTGAGGGAATGGTTATAGATACGAGGGGTGGTGCAGCAGAAATTGCTTATTTTACGGTGTAATAAAATGGTGGAAAAAGCTGAAGCAGAAGAAGTCATCTCTTTCTCTTTCTTCTTCCCATTCTGTCGAGGAGTCGAATTGAGCAGTCATCAATTTTTTTTCGGTCTCACATTCCCCAGCCAGGATTAGCGGATAAGGAGTGGATATCTTGTGGTTCATCTTATTTTGAAACTAATTTTCACTTTGGTATCAATTTTTTTACTTTCAAGTGAAAAGTAACATGTTCGAGTTTATTGTTTCGTTGGTCACTGAACTTAGGTATATATTTCTGATTGGTCACTAAAATTTAAAATGTCGAGTT